AGAAGCAGGATGAAAGGTGTAAGGACTTGTGCTGCTTCTGCGTAATACAGAGAGATCTGCTGAAGTCTAGTGACTGGTTTATTTCCTCTGCTGCCCAAGACGGACCTGCTGTAACCTTCATGTTTGGTTGAGTTGGAGAAATGCTGGTTAATTGTTTTTGCAACATTCCCGCATTTGGTGTTGTCGGGACTTGATGCTGTCTTTTATTCTGGGAGGATGATGGCTCAACAAACAATCCTGTTGTCACAGATGCATAAATAGTTCAGCAAGGAATGTAACAAAGGCACTCTGATGCTGCAGGAAAAATAAGCAGTAGGGACAATAAAATGTCTTGGGAGGAAATGTGTTCTGTTGAGGCAAACATCTGGAGAATTAAAGAAAGTGTTCTAAATAGAGAAATGGCTTTCAAATAGATTTTCTGTGGTGCCGCTGCAGGTCTTTGAAGAATGAAGATCATTGGCTGATGTATTTTGTTAATATTCCTTGGTGTTTTGGAGAAACATCTGTGATTCGACCAAAAATTTATGTGAGTTTTGGTTGCTTGTTCTGAAAGAGAGTTTTATCAGCACAAATGGTGATACTTAGCCTTTTTCCAGCACAGTAGCCAGCCTCTGGGTCGTGATGTTTTTAGACTCAAGTGCTGCTGTTCTGGTAGTTGATACCTGCATTGTCTACTGGGCAACCAACGCACTGTATTTCAGTCTCTAGCAGATTTAGCTGAAGAAAATCCCACCTTTAATTTTCAGTTGTACCCCTGTACTAGAGTTTACTGTCTCCATTTCAAGTCTGGCTCATTATGTTGTGCCTCTTGAACCCAGTTTTATGACCCAAAGAGAAACATATATATTGTTCCTTTTGTCTCTGCCGTTGGAAGTAACTTCTGGCAGTGGTGAACATGTAAACCACCTCGGCCACTGTAGCAAAATCTGCGAGCAGTCTATGAACTGAATCCCTGTGTTACTCAGGGTCTTCCTTAGCATGTACTATTAAAAAGAAGCAACTATACAAGAAATGAGACTACTCATCTTGGTTCAGATTTTTTTTAATCTCTTAATTAGTGGTGAGATCAAACAAGTGCTGTATTATCTTTCTACACTTCTAGACAGATTTCTGGCTTTCTGTAACTGCTGTATTTTGGGGGACAGAAGAGTGACTAATGCAAGGGCAAAGCTGAAAGAACTGATGAAAATGTAAAAGCTTCTTTAAGAAAGTGATACAACCTTGTGTACAAACGCAGAACTGATTTCTTTGTTTGCAATCCTTTCCCAGAGGAAAAAAACACTTTTGTTTCTAGTCTTTATATTTATCCATATTTTGTCAATTTGGCCGGTTAAATTAGACAATCTACATGCAATATTTTTGTTCGGACATTCTGTCTGGCAATGTAGAGACAGAAATTTTGTTCTAAATTTAGATATATTTGATGGAGCATTGTTTTCTGTTTTCTTTAAAGCATATTATCAATTCTGAATTTAAAAAAAAGTTATGAAAACCCCTTTTCATTACTTCACATGATGGAAGTGTATTTAAGGAAATGATCAAGTAGGAAGATCGAAAACTACTAAGATGTGGTGGAGTAATGCAGTTAGTAATATGATAATATGAGGATCTTAATTGGATCATAACTTGTTTGTCCTGATCTACTAGATCAATGGCAAGCTTCTCTTACTCTGAGTAGCTCCCTCTGACCTCATCTGCAGTCTCTGAGCAAGTCATTCTCTGGGCATTGTGCCCTCTGTGTGGGGATTCTGACTGTGAAATAAGTTGTTTCCTTCACTTAGCTGTGGCAGTAAAACTGAAAGTAAATAGCTTGAAAGCCATCCCAGCAAGTGCTTTCTGATTGACAGTGTTGTAGCATTTCATGGTTCTGTTGCTGATATCGATAACAGGCCTAGAGGTATTGGCAGTCCTGCAGGCAAGTGGCTCCAGGCAGTGTACTCCCACCAGGATTATGCTTGGATGTGACTGGAGGAAGAGAGGAAAGCGAAGCCAAGCAGGTGGTACTTGTGCTTTGGTAAGCTTGCTTTTCTTTACCGAGGTGACCCTGCTGGATCCTGCCACCCCTTCTTGCTCTGGGGATGGCCTGGTATTGTGGTCCCTAGAGCATCAGCAATTGTGACAAGTTCAGCTGCTTTCCTGGAAATCTGTGAAGATACTGCTCCAAAGCTGCAGTGCTGGGATATTGCCATGTTCCTGCTCGCACATCTCTATTTGAAGGAAGAACAATGTCAGTAGGCCTGGCTCCCAGCAGTTGCTCTCGTCACCAGCTGGGTGATTATGTATTGACAGATGTGGGATGATGTTAAAATGCAACTCTGAAGTTGAGTTAATGTTTAATTAACTAAACTATTGAAGATCATTTGAATACCTCCTCAATTTTATGGGAGGAGTTTCAGCCAGACCACCTTGTGTACGAATGACTGTTACGGACCTTTGGTAGGAAACTTACTATCTCTGTGAGTAGGTAAGATCTTACTGGTCAGTGGAGTACTAGGTAGTTCTTGTAATCACAAGTGCACACAGAATTTGTACAGCATGACGTCTCTTCCCCAAAACCCCAACTTTATATCCCTAAATTTCGGGTTACTTAATGTGTATGGAATTTGTAATCAAGTAAAACTCAGGGAAATATGAAATTACTATAGTACGTTTATTTTCTGCTGCTATATTTTAAAATTTTACTTCAGCTTCAATAAAATTTTATTGTGTGTTTTATGTCTTACATTGTTTTTCCTTTTGTCCATCATAGTTTTGCCCACTTCCAAATGAAGGAAAGCACAGAGGTGTTTTGGGATTCTGGGTAGGAGAATTGAAACGCATGGGCAAAGAAGTGGTGGATTCTCTTTTCTTTTGGGTTTAGTTGTTAGGAACATAAGTCACTAACCATTACGTTTTCTGGGTTGGGTGCTGTCCTGGTTTTGGCCAGGATAAATTTTCTTCATAGTAGCTCGTATAGTGCTGTGTTTTGGATTTAGTATGAGAACAGCGTTGATAACACACTGATGGTTTAGTTGTTGCTAGGTAAGTGCTTGTATTAAGTCAAGGACTTTTCAGCTTCACTTGCTCTGCCCGGTGAGGACGTGCATGAGAAGCTGGGAGGGAGCACAGCCAGGACAGCTGACCCAAACTGACCGAAGGGATATTCCATACCATATGACGTCCTGCTCTGTATATAAACTGGGAGGGGTAGCCAGGGGGATGGGGTCATTGCTCGGGGATGGGCTGGGCATTGGTCAGTGGATGGTGAGCAACTGCACTGTGCATCACTCATTTAGTTGCCGGCTGGGGTTAAACCACAACAAGTGTCATCATGAGAAGCTGGTGGGAAATTAAAGCAAGACGTTGCTAGCAAAGAACTGAAAATGCTGCGCAGAAAGGAGCATTTCCTACACTGTCTGCTGTAGTAGAATCCACCAGATGTGACAGAGTGACTTCCAGATCTGCAAGAAAGTAGCCATGTTTCTATGGCTTTAGCTTTGTAGAGAGGATTACTCGATGAAATTCTGTGGCTCTTTCAAGGATAACAAGGGACACTCTGGGGGGATTTAGAGGTGACCTCTAACTTCTCACTTGTGTCACTGGCAGAGTTCCCTTTACTTAGAGAACTTCAGTGTTCTTCAAGATTTTGTTCTAGCTATATTTTGCCAGACATACTGTTGTGTCCTCAGAAGATAGCTTTTTTGGTCCTTCCATAGCTGGTTATTTGCAAATATCTCTGCGTTATCTTAAAGGTGGAAAGATGATCCTAAGCCTGATCTTCCCTGCAGGCAGAGCTCTAATGTAATGTACATAGCTGAAAAAGGACAGATTGTCATGTCCACGTGTCCTTAACTGAGAGTGTGGAGTATCTTAGATAAACGAGAAGATAGATGGACAGGCCCATGCAAGTGTAATGCAGGGTACTGTGGAACAGCAGTGGGAGAGCTCAGCTGAAACATGACTTGCTTATGCTGGGGATACTTCACCTAAAACTGTAGCAATATAGTCCTTTCAGACATGGTTCTGTTGCTTTTAAGCAAGGCTGTTTAAAGGCACGTTTTCCTTCATGTGGCAGAAATTCTGGTTTTGGTTGCTACCTCAGCATCCCGATTCCTGCCTATGGCACTAAGTTTGCTCGAAATGGTTTCAGCCTGTGAGAAGCTAGATTATATACGTTTAATAAAGGGAGTCCCTCTTGAAATTCAGTGGCTTGTGGCATGCAGAGGATCGAAGGAGATCATCAGATAGTCCCTTTTGGTCTTTAATGTGTCAATTCTAGGATACAAAGGGATCGTGTGGAAGCGAAGCAAAGGAATTCAGGCTAAAAAAACTGTGGAGTCTAAAGATACACAGTAAAGTCTCTTGTGCCAGTGTAGACTTATCCATCATGATCTCTGGGGAGAAATGACTGGAGATACTTTTGTGCAATTCACTTTTTATCTGCTTCATCAGGCAAACCACCAGCACAAATGGCTCATGAAGCTCTTGGTTTCAAACGAACAGTGGTATAAAGGGTTGTGTGTTCACAGTTTTGTTGTTAACTTCATTGAGACAATGGGTGGATTTACAGTCAGAAGAATGGAAGATCTGGCCGTGAGAGGGGCACGAGGTGGTGCAAATGGCAGTATTGCAGCCCCTGAATGCCCGTGGTAGTTAAGCAACATGGGGACTTTTTATTATCCAGTGACTGAATATTCCTCAGAAAGTCCCCTTTCATGCTGTAACAAACCAAGTGGTCAAGCAATTGGAATATTTGGCAGATGTGATGCTGAATCTCAGTTCACGTTTTATTCTCTGCCTGAGAATGGACGGTTAGAGACAGGTCGAAAGTCAGACATGCTCTCTGTAGCTGGGATATAGACTTGTTGGGGAACCTGGCAGATGATTGCTACATATAGCTTATAACTGATTTTAATTTTTTATATATTTCATCTTTTATTACCAATTTACATTTTTACTGCTATTGGAAGGCAGTGGTTTGCTTGTAGTTCCCATGGCATTTCATTTTGTTTCTGTTGAAGCAGAAGAAACAAGGTTTTAGACCCAGCATAGGACCAGGGGAATAGAAACCTCATTTTTCTTCAGTACCTGGATTCATTGTAAGTGGGATGCTTGATTTTGTGCATCTGATATTTTTCAAATAAATAGGATAAGCTTTTGTTCTGAAACCATAATTTTTGTCTTTCATTTGGTGTAAGTATGTGCATTCTCATGCATTTGTACACACCCAGCAAGCACTCCGACACCTGGAGCAGCTGGAACTGCTTTCCTAGCTAGCAAATGCTGCATAACAGAGCAGAAGACTTCAAGGATTCTCCAATCTCCTTGTTTTGTTGTTTTTTTAAAATTACTAATGTGGGTATCAGAGCGTGTGATGATGTCACACAGAATAAATACCTTGAGTCTGTTTTGACTGGTGCATATAAGCTTTTGAAATGGTATATTTTTCTGTCATGGCAAGAGCAAAATTATAATGGTATTTTCACAATTCTGTTTCAGATGAGAAGAAGCAGATGGTTGCAAATGTTGAGAAACAGCTCGAAGAAGCAAGGGAACTGGTACGTTTTGGCTTTTCGTATGTTGGATGCAAATTCTTAGGGAAAATAATAGGATCATGAGTGGTAACATTTAACACACATGATGCCCTAAAAACACTTAACATATTGGGAAATGAGATAATATTTTTGAAAGAATTCTTATTTGAGGATATGAAATACCCAAGAGGAGTATATCCTTTGTTAATCTTGTGTTAAGTGACTGAAGGCTTACGTTATTGCTGTAAAGTGTTACAGGCTGCTGCAGGCTTTGAGTCATGGATTAGGCCTTTGACTTGAGGAATTGAATGAAGTATTTACACACCTGAACTGTTGATTTTTTCCTTGTAGGACCCATGCATCTGCTTGATGTAATCTGTCTGATTGTCTTGTAGAGCAGTAGATCTTTTTTCTCTTTTAGCAAAGTGAGGCATAAGTATATTTAGTTGTTTGAGGTCAAGGGAGCAATGGTAGTGGGGGTTACTGAACTGAGAAGGGTATAGATGTTAACTGTGCAGTAGTTTGTGGTCTGCTCTGGCAGAAGAAAGCGATGCATGTTAAGCCAACTGTGACTTTTTTTATTTTGTTCCCATTATAGCCTGTCATGTCCTCTGTCTGGATGGAGTGTGAAAGTAAAGTTTTGTGGATGTGGACTAACTGAGCAAAGGTGTTGGTGACAGTTGAGATTGGCTTTTTCCCCATATAGGCACTAGCTCCTTGCCTGAAGTTGCTTTTGTTTATTGCTTGCAAATGAGTGTGGTCTATCTAATGTCAGAAATATAATCTGACTGTTAGGATAGGGAAAGGAAATGAGATCTCCTAGCCTGAAAATTCCTAAAATTGAGCAACTTGAATCAATGATTTGGTTACTAACTGAACAGTAATACTGCGATTCACTTTTTAAAGTGGCATGGGAAGAAAAAGGTCTCTAGAGTGTTTGTTGACATACCCAGTGCTTTTGGTTTAAGAACTGAGTTAGCCTTGTAGACTAGAGCATTGGAATGGCATCCAGGAAAGCTGGATCTTGGGGTGACTCCTTGCAGGTTTACCCTATGAGGATGGCAAGGTGCCTAACCTCTCTTACTTGGTATGGTCAGTGAGAAATGCAGTAAAATTGCTGTCCCATCCCATGAGGATGTTCTGAAGATGTATGAAGGTCTTTTGAGCACTTTCATATTCAAACAGCTGAAAGAAAGTAAAAATCTGGAAGCGTTTTTCATCTCCTTTTCACTACAATTTGACATGGCAAAAAAGCACAGCAGTACAGGGAAATTGTAGCATGGGTGGTCTGATGAAAAAATCACTGAAATTTGATTTTCTGCTCAAAGTAAGATTGGAAGGAGCAGAGATTGAGTTAACGGCTCATTACTTTTCTCCTTATGTCAGAAAAAGATCATCTAAATTTGTATTTATTATAAGATTAAGAAATAAATCCTGTATGTGTACTTTTATGCTAACGATGATCTTCATTTAATGTACTGGCTTTTCTTTCAAGCTTTTGTTTTAGATCTTGTTACTAATGCTGCTAGGCAGGTGCTTAATTCAATTATTGGCTTTAAGCAATTACCTAACATGTTTGTGATTAGTGTCAAGGCTTGGGTTTAAAAATCAATTTGAACAAACCTGCTAATAACAGAACTGATTAAAAAGATCCTCTTTTAAACTAAAAGCTACAAAAGAAAAAGAAATAAACCTAATTCCTTACTTCTGGAAGTTTTCATACATTGGTATGCTTCATTGTCTGGAGCAGTTAGAGCTGGGTTTAGCTGCTTTTGTTTTATTTCCTACTTGGCTAGGAAATAACACTCTCATGTCTTATAAATATTATGGTGGAGATTATTTATTTACACTGACTAACCATTGATTGTTTTGAAACACTGTCTGCTTTGTTTGGGTAAAATCACTGGTGTAATTGATTTGATCTGTATGCAGAACTGACACCAAAACTTTTCAGACTGCCAGGCTGCCAGTTCGAGCCAGAGCTGTTGAGTAAGAGATCTCTGGAAAGAAATCCTGTCGTTGTACATCCCGTGTGGAGTATCTGATTGTTATTTTTACCAGGTTTTTAAGAAAAGCAAATGTTGTGATAAACTTAGGGAAATTCCTTGAATACGAAGTCTAGCATTTGCTAGAAGAGCTGGAATTAGCATTTTTGAGTGAAATTTTGCTTTTAAGAAGAAAAAACTTCCTGTGTGTTATTTGCCTTTTATGTTTTATGAGGGACATATCACAAAATTGTTGTGTTGCAAATGCTAGATTATTCTTAGCTAGACATGTGGCTTTTTAATGTACGTAAATTTAGTGTTGCAAATGCTAGGTTATTTTTTTTTAGCCACTTTTTTTTTTTTTTCCTTTTATAAGATAGAACTCTATTTTAGTTCCAGGACTTTAGAAGCGGAATAAAATAGCAAAGCTTAGAAGTTTCATAAAATGCTAGCAAGTCCCCAGAGCAATTTTCATGTGGAAAAGTTCCTGTGGGACGAGGATGCTTGTTTTGGGGCCTCCGTGGACAACATCAGCAGTGTTACCTTACTTCGTTCTCTTTTTGAATGGAAATAGTGGTAGCTGCTCTGCTTTATGCTGTATTTGGTTCTGGGAGCGTACTAAGTGTTAGGAGCAAACTGCCCAGGTTAAGCCCCTGAGGAGCATTAAGGGTAGGGCCTGATTTATGAATTTGGGCAAGAGTTAGGTGCCAGAATGCTCAGCTTCACTGCAGCGGTCGCAAGTTGAACATAAGCAATAACAGAACTTTGAGCTTTTAGAATTTCTGAAGAAAACTTGAGCTTCTACAGACGTTTTGAAATTTAATGCCAGGTTATTTTTAGCTTTTAGTAGAATTTAGCTCTGTTCTTGCCTGTGTATGAAAAATACAATTTTATGGCCAATAATATGAGACCTGAAAGTGAAGATGCATGAAACTAGGTTGCATTTAGATTCACACCTATATGGACCACTATCTTCTGCGTGTCTTCCCATAGAAATTTATCAGCCCAGCCACAAAATGTACCCATTTAATCTCTTAATGACAAAAAAAGGTGATGTTAAATGTAGGACAGCCTAAATATGCAGACTTCATCATTGTTCCCTGGACCTTACACTCTCCGATACTGACTCTTCAGGATTAGCATTTTGGATTTCATGCACTATGGTCTGATCCTTGCTGCAAAGTCCGTACTCACTGGGAGATGAATATATATTTATATAATAGATAAGAGTTGAGACATCATTAAAGTATCCCGATGTTGCACATATATAATTATGTGTATATGAGAGGAATGTTTTCTATGGTTATAGAACATTTGAGATCAAATATATTGATATGAAACTGATAAGAAACAAGCCATTAACTCCAACAGTTAAGCTCGAGCTAAAGTTATGTTTCAATTTATTACTATTTAATTAATATCTGCTTTAAAGTTTATTATTGAATATAATTTTGTATAATCAGAATAGATTGGGTGGAATGACTTTTGAGTATCTGGTAATTCCATTGATTAAGTTCAGATGCTTTTCTTACGATATGAGGATGAAATTTCACAGAATAGTAGGGGTTGGAAGGGACCAGGGTCACCTACAGCAAGCTGCACAGGACCTTGTCCAGGTGCGTCTTGAATATCTTCAGAGAAGGAGACTCCACAACCTCCCTGGGCAGCCTGTTCCAGTGCTCCATCACCCTCAGAGGGAAGAAGTTCTTCCTCATGTTCAGACGGAACTTCCTGTGCCTCAGTTTGTGCCCATTGCCCCTTGTCCTGTCGCTGGGCACCACTAAGAAGAGTCTGGCCCCATCCTCCTGACACCCACCCTTCAGATATTTATAGGCATTTATTAGGTCCCCTCTCAGCCTTCTCTTCTTCAGGCTGAACAAGCCCAGCTCCCTCAGCCTCTCCTCGTAGGGGAGATGTTCCAGTCCCCTCATCATCCTCGTAGCCCTCCGCTGGACTCTCTCCAGTAGCTCTTCATCTTTCTTGAACTGGGGAGCCCAGAACTGGACACAGTACTCCAGATGAGGCCTCACTAGGGCAGTGTAGAGGGGAAGGAGAACCTCCCTCGACCTGCTGGCCACACTCTTCTTGATGCACCCCAGGATCCCATTGGCTTTCTTGGCAGCCAGGGCACACTGCTGGCTCATGGTTAACCTGTCATCCAAAATGGCAGCACAGCCTTCCGGTGTGTCTACCACACCTCCCAGTTTGGTGTCACCAGCAAACTTGCTGAGGGTACATTCTAACTCTTCATCCAGGTTGTTGATGAAGAAGTTAAACAAGACTGGGCCCAGTACTGACCCCTGAGGGACACCACTAGTTACCGGCCTCCAACTAGACTCAGAGCCGCTGATGACAACCCTCTGAGTTCTGCCATTCAGCCAGTTCTCAATCCACTTCACTGACCACTCATCCAGCCCACACTTCCTGAGCTTCCCTAGGAGGATATCATGGGAGACTGTGTCGAAAGCCTTGCTGAAGTCGAGGTAGACAACATCCACGGCTCTCCCTTCGTCTACCCAGCCAGTCATGTCATCGTAGGAAGCTATCAGATTAGTCAGGCATGATTTCCCCTTGGTGAAAAGTGTAAGGAAGTGATTACATAGGAATAAACTGTAGCTGTCCCGTGTGAAGACCTGTAACCTGTAGCTTGGGACCCTAATTGAAAGGCATTTTTGTTCCAATGCCATATTACTCAACTGAGATCAGTAGGAGGTGAGTAAATATTGTTTCAGGTGCCCACAGCAACCAAGGAGAGGTATTCTTCTATCTTTTCAGTGCAAGGTAGGAAGATTTTAGAAGGCAAGTAAGGGATTCTTCAGCTGTGCGAAATAGAATTCCCGAGCAGACAGCACCATATAGAGGAGGCTCTGTGACCCAGTGGATGGATAATTAGCAGGCAGCTCAGCCCTGATTTATAACTCCATTTGATTTTTCTGTACCTCTGTGCCATCTTCTTGTGTTTCAGACCCCTTAGTATTCTACGTGGCAAGACTAAATAGAAAGTGCTGTTGAAAGATATATTCTGTCTCTGATGTTTTAATACATTTGATTGTAGATGAGTTCTTGAATAGTATTGTCATTAAACCGTGAAATTCAGCTATTTAATATATCTACATACAGATTTGGGATGTAGATCTAGACAGTTCAGGCTTCGCAATTCTCCTGGGTAAGCAGTATTTAAAAGAACAAGAATTATTTTATTAAAGACAGAGGCTGATGGTAAATAAAACTTTTAACATGTACATATATACACACACACATATACATATATATATTTATGTACACACGTGTGGGGGGCTGTGTGTGTACAAAAATATGTAAAATACCTTTTTCAGCCAAGGATTTCCAAAACCACGCAGCTAGATGGAAGTGAGCTTTTTTCTGAACTGCGCTCGTTTGCAGGAAGTTATTTAACCTCTGTTTTACTATTTTCATGTAACAAAATGTATTCATCACACTTGGAATTGAAATCCAGAAATGTCTGACTAGAACCATTCCGTATAAGTGTTAATAATACTAATTTTGTCACTTGTTTGTTGACTTAAGGCTGTGTAAAGATTTTGATAAATTGTTTATGTATTGCAGAATAAACAACATTTTTCTTGCTAAAGAAGGAATATTTCATAGTACTTGTGAACAATTTAGGTAAATTCATCCTTGCTTTAATTACCCTTTTGATTTACATATGTCTTCTTTACTTGCTAGCTTGAGCAGATGGAACTTGAAGTTCGAGAGATCCCACCTCAAAGCCGAGGAATGTACAGCAGTCGAATGAGAAGCTACAAACAGGAAATGGGAAAACTTGAAGCTGATTTCGTGAGTTTTTAACATGTTACATAAAGAAGGCATCTATGAGAATTTTTTAAATGTAATAATACAGTTATTCAGGCAACTGAGAGAGTATTTTTGACTAGTGTTAGAGATGAGTTCTGTGTGTATCTTGCTGTATTTATGGACAGATGAAAACCGAACTGGGGAAGAGAAGTTTTTCTTTTTGTAGCAGTCTCGCACCAATATTCAAGTTGCTAGCCGTCTATCCCTTTGCCCTGGATCCAAATTGTTTCTGTGCCATTAAACATTGTGAGTGTTCATGCTGTAGGCAAAACAGTCAGCTTTTAATCCTGTTTCTCAAGGAACGACTGGTAGAACATCAGAATTAATATTTAAATTATAATGTAAGGATACTCTTGAATGGAAAATAATGGTTCATTTAAGACAGCTTGTAGTAATGTGGGCAGTAACATGAAAAGCAATATAATCTCCAATCCATGGAATTTCTGAATATAGTTTGTCTCACGTGCACTTCATTTCTTAGTCTCTGTGATTTCTTTTCCATTGCACTTAGATTCTTCTTGGCTTTTGTACAAATCGGTTATAAATACTACATTTTTCAAGTAATGGATGCAGACTAACAAGATTTCTTTGTCTAGGGGCTTCTGCTACAGTTATCAGTCCTTTTTTGTGGCTAGGATTTACACTGAATAGATTTACATAGAGACAAAACTGTTTCTTCTAAAATCCTGAAAAAATTCAAAGAGATTGCGAAGTGTAGGAAAATGCTATGTTAATTGGCAGCAGCTCGATTCCTTCAGGGTAGGGAGAAAGAAATAACTGTTGGCAGTATTTTCCATTCACTGGAGAACTGTGAATTTTCTTGGGTTGCTGGCAGCACTTTATTCCTTCAGGGGACGGGAGCCAATGTTTATACCTGCAGCCAGAAAATCCAGCTGACTCTCACTCCTCTGTGCTTCTGCCAAGTTGAGGAGTCGCACAAAAATGTATTAGTTAGAAGATGGTTGCAACTTTGTGAAGTTTGAGGAATGTTGCGATAAAAAGACTCACATCAAAATTTTGCGACACGTCTCACGCCGTTCCCCTGCAGGAGGTGCGTACGGCCCTCGTTGGCTAAACAGTGGCTTTGAAGAGAGAGCAGTTTCTGGACTGGTAGTGAACGCTGTTTATCTTCTCAGATGTGGGAGAATTCACTGTCAGCATGTATTTGTCGCTGGCCTGTTTCTTTATCTAGGCATACAGTGGAACTGGTACTTCCATATTCCCAGGCAGCAGGGAATGGGGAAGTTCAGAACTGGGAGCTCTTTATGGAAAAGGAGAAACGAGCGTGTGTGGAAGAAATGCATCAGAGCGCTAGGACTTACATCATTGGAGGGATATAAGTTTGTGCTGAGAACGAAGGAGCAAAAACATTAGAGAGAAGGAACACATTGTAATAATGGGGAAAAAAAGTTTAAAACTCAAGGATGACATTCAACAGAAGATCAAGCACAAGGGGGAGTGAAGGATGGAGCAAAGTACTGAAAGAAAACAGCAGCTATGCTTGGAAAAATCTCAGTTATACAGAAAATAGTGTTGTTACAACTAAATTCCCTACATAATTCCAGTTTCTGAGTACTAATATTTTTCTAAGTTTGTACGTGAGGGTTTGAGAATCTTTTTGGCTTATTCTCCAGTCAAATAGCAACTTGTTGGAAACTATGTAATGAAGTGATTCAGTCGTGAGTTCAAAGAAGGAAGCAGAGGAAGGAAAGGAAATGGTTTTTTGACTCTGTAAGCTGCAGGGCCGCTGGGGGTAGGAAGTTGAAAGTATTTGCTGAAATGAAAGCACTTTTGAGTGTTCTGCCTGAGTATTGTCCTGAATGAGTTGTGACCTGTTAGACTGTAAGCAAAGCGTATGGAGTTTATGTAAGAGCTTTAGCAGACCTTTAGGAAAAGCAGATCTAAGTACTTTTAAAATGAATGCACGTTTATAGTTGAAGGAAAATTCTTAACTCGAAATGATACTGGCAATTTTGGGTTATGATCAGTGTACAGGTTTGCTGGTCTAAGTTCTCAGCTCTTCCAAAAGGCACACAGATGTGAGCTTGCCAAGTTTTGTTCTTTATCCATGGAGTTGGAATCTCAGCTGGATCCCACTGTATTTGGCTTGGCCTTGCTTCCTGTGTGAAGTAGCATGTGTACTGAGCAGAGGACATTTCTCAATCGTCTTGAAGTGTGTGTTTCATTTTAAAGAAATCATGTGTGTGAAATGAATTGCAAAAATTACATACCTCAGTATATAGTCTTTTTCAGTAAGTTCTGTATTTCAAACATGAAGTGACTGCAGAAGTGGCACTTGTAGTTCTCTTTTATATTCATCGTAATGAACAGGAGTTTTGATCTTGTGGTTATTTGTATGCCTTAGAGCATCTTGAAAATTTGCCTTTATGCAACCAGTTAAGGAAAACAGCAGCACAGCAACATATTTAAGTTAGGAGAAAGAAACACGAGGTGTGTGGACTGTCCACTCTTTACTTGCTTGATGGAAAACATTATAGTTTATTTGTGACATGTAATACATAGTTGGTGAGTTTTTTTTGGTCTTGGGCAGTACGTATAATAGTGGCAGAACACTGGACTATCACTTCAATATTATTTACTACATACTGTGGTGTCTTAGAGAATATATAGTGGATTTTTGCTATGCACTTTACTATGCCAGAAATATATTCTGAAAAATAATGGATTTAAGCTTGGCTGAGTTGTACTTTGAAAAGTTACTCCAAACGTGGGTTGTTCATCTCTGACTTGTTAACCAAATAGGAACGAGTTGCAAATAGGAGATTTATTTCCCCTCATTGCGAGGCGTTGTTATCTTGGGTTGTGCCCGCAGTGCTCTGCAGCCCAGAGGTGTGTGTGGAGGCGATGACATCTGGCCCATGCCCTGTGTTGCACACGGGTAGTTGGTAACACACTAATTGCATTAAATCGTTTCTGAGGAGAAAAAGCCACCTTGTTCCATGTTGGGCCTCCCTCTTGGAGAGGAACCATGGTAATGAAAAAAGGAATAGCTCAGTTTTGTCATTGAAGTGCTCAGATAGCATAGCACGGTGAATATGGTTGGGGAAAATTGAGTTGCACCTCAACTTTGGCCATCAGCAGCAGTTTCTGACTCGGTGCTGTGTAGTCTTCCGTGGGAGCGGATGCCTGGGGAGCAATACGAGAACAGGGCCAGCACGAAGTGATAATTCTTTGCAAAACATGCTGTGTACGCCTTGAAAGGCTGAGTTTCAGAGGTGCTTAGTGTGCGTTGTAAACGTATCAAAGCAGGCTAGAACAGTTCATTCAGTCTTATGTTGTCTTCTTCGAGCTGCGGCTGTGGATGTTGCGCTCCTCTCCTGACTTCCAGCAGCGTGTGCTGCAGCGCGGGCTCCTCGCCGGGCACCCGGTGCCTGCGCGGCCCCGCCAATCTGCCGATGCACCACTGTGTGGTTTAAGCTTGTAAATATTTTCTTCTCAACTATTTCAGATGTAGAATGTCTGCAGTGACTGCGTGAAGTAAGTTATGAATGAAAAAAAGGCCTATATTTTATTGTGATCTTTTAAGTAAGTGGACTATAGATACTGTTTATTTTTTTTCAAATTAATCTTTTTTTTTTGTCAATTGTCACCTGAAAATAGGCAGTGATCTTTAAACAGTGGGGGGTGTGCAGTGGTAAAAGGCTGTCCAGATTTTATAAACTTGCTTAGACGTGAATATATCTCAGTTTGCGTGAAACTGTAGCTATGTGAACTTAGCAAATGTCTGGTTATCTGCTAGCATTTGGATTCACCCCAAGGGTTCCATGTAGTGATTCAATGTCAGGGCACCATAAAAAAGAACAAAAAAAGGCAGACATTGTCCTGAAAAACACACAGCCATACAGCTGGAGTATGAGGCATTCAAATAGAAGGGGAAATATGAAAATCCAGTAAATCCATATTACAGATTAATATTCATATGGCAAAAATGAGCACTACACTATCAGTGCTGAAGTGGGATGGGCGTAGTCAACAGAAAAATAGACATCAAATAAAGGAAGAGGGATAGGAACTGTTCATATTCTGTCATGGCGGCATGAAGGCGAATTTTACTGGTAACATTTGTTATCCATCCAAGAGACAATGCTCATTTCTTTTAGAGACTCAGAATCGGTACAGATTTTGGTTATTTTGACCTTCAATTTAAAAGAAAAAAAAAAAAAGGAGGGGGAGAAGTCATAGGTATGTAGACAGATATATGTACAAAACTTGACTAAACATTTAAACGTTTCTGGCATTTAGCAATAGCTTCAGTTCAGTCAATAGTGAAGAGATGTATTTAATGTATCTTACATCCTGCAGGTTCTGTTTAAGATAATTGTTAAAATGGCAACTACTGTTAAGATTTAAAACATCTAAGGACATAAGCAATGGAATTTCATTTGATAAAGTGAGCTCTTTTATGTGAGTCTGAGGTACCACCTGAGTCCAGAAGCCGACCTGAAGAACAGCTACAGCTGTGTCAGTTGTATTCTGGCTGCTCTTTGCAAATACTGCTGCCCTTATTTCAGGTTCACCTACCCAGACAGATACTCATGTGGCTATATGCATAATGAACAGCATTTGTCAAATGACAAGTTAGTGGCATGTATTGTTACGGCCAGAGTCTGTCTTAGCTTTCCAGTTTGAGCTAAAGAGTTTAGAGATTTGGCTGTTGCTGCAGGATTGTTTTATAAAACAAAGCATTATTTCTTTATTGTTACAAAATCATAAATTGTGTGTGGGACAGATGTGTATATCTTCATAGTTGCAACCCAAAGACCTTACTAAAAACAGGGAACCCACCATGCATACACATCGTGTGAAAATCTGATCTTGTTGTCAAATTTGAAACTTTTGAAATCAGATTAATTTTAGCGATGTGAGTAGTACAGCTCCTTTCACCAGGGCTGTGGAGGATTTAGTTTACTGCATGTGAGGTTTAACTGGTTAAGTTTCAGGAGAAAGAATTTGAGATATCT